TATAAACTACCATTGGGTACTGCTCCTAAAATTGTAGTCAAAATATAAGTAAGACGAATTCTTACTTAGTTTTTATTTAAGTATAACAAAATATAGGAAAATCACATTTATTCAAAAATTCACGGGAGTTATAACCTGCGTGGTGGCTCGGTCCCTATGGTTCTAGGTTATAGTAATTGTGAATATACAGAAAACTAACGGGTTCTAATAAGTAATAGATGGTTTTCAAGAAGCATAAGATTTATTTTATATATATATATATACATATATTATTTTAAATAAGGTTTTTTTTAAAGTGCTGAACTGCCCATCACTACTTTTAATAATGTTACGAAGTGAATAAAACTACCCTTAAAATAGAGCATCGATTGTTATTATGAAAAATTTATTTATTGTATTTATATAAAATGTTTAAACAAATATAATTTTGACTGTACTTTCCCCATACTTACTCAGTGTGAAACGTGCGTGAGAAAGGGAAGTGGACATTAATTTTTAAACACATGATGTATGTGTCTAGCCGTTTCGATTTTTAGACCCTTTTATCCGATATAATAATAATAATATTTTTTTAATAAACCAGAAAATTCATACAGCGCCATCTAGTTTGGGACTAGATGGCGAGCTTTAGTGGTGAATACTACGTAGATAATATAAATTCTTAGATATTTTTTTTGTAAAAGCATACATGATGTACGTAGAAAATACTCAGACCAAAACAAATGGTCCTCAGATTATTTTCCATTCTAATTATATAAAAATATGTCTTATTTTTTTTCATAATTTACACTGTTTTCCATTACTCTTATTAATCTTAGAGCAACAAAGAAGGTAATTTACTGTTATGTATTGACAATTCTGTCGATTTTACACACATATAGAAAGTACTGACATATCCATGTTATTTGTTATTGCTGTTGTGGAATATATCAAGGTATTGTAATCTTATCTTTGATTTTTGTTTAAATATTTATCCCAAATTTCTTCATAGAAGTATCTGAAATTTTCTGAACGTTTACAACAACGCATTCACTGCAACACTGTTTTTCTTTACAGCGCATTCGAAGCCATTCAAATTTACGTGGTGATAAAGTTTCATGCTGTTCTCCAATGTATTTCATTTTGCACTTTACGTTTGTATACTGTAAGATATACATTTACATAGCGCTTTCAGGATAGATGTAACATTTCAGATTTGTTGTGTACTCGAGACAATAGGCACTCGGTCTGAGCCTGTCTAGGAATTAATGTGCCGTGACTAAAACCTCTGTCCTTGCACGCACCTCTTATGTTTTTCCTTTGTTACCTAGGCCGTCTGCTGGTTTAACATAAGTATATGTTCTCATTAGTATAGTATATGAGATAATGAAATCATAATTAACATTATTAAACGTATTCTTCATGTGGCTGTATAGTAACTATACATTTATATAGAAATTTATCAGGAAAGTTACGTATAAACTACAAGATTAGGGAATTGCCTGTGCTTATTTTTAATTAACTAGAATAATAATCAAGTTGATGATCTATCATTTGGTAAGTGACAATTGTCCCCCACATATATTAATAGCACCATAGATATCTTATCATCGCGCAACTCCCGTGGCATCTCTTGTGTTTCCATTCCGGAGACCAAGGTATTATGTTTCCATAGCTACTCTGTAAGTTTAGTGCCATATCTCCAACTCAAAAACTGCTTACAAAGCAAATTATGTGGTGTGGTACTTGGGGTATGATTTGTGTCTATGTCTAAAAGACTTCTTCAAAATTTGTTTTTTTTAATATTTTGATTACATTAATGGAAAAGACATGGTCGTATGGGCCTCATGAATAAGAGTTACTCAGGGGGCAATGGAGATGCTCGGAATTTCTATGCATGATCGAATCAGAAAGGAAGAAATTCGCAGAAGAACCAGAGTGACCGACATAGCCCGAAGAATTGCGAAACTGAAGTGAACTGAGCAAGTTGCTCGTAGGACAGATAGCAGCGTGGGAAGGCCTCGAGCAAGGTGGACCGACGATATGAACAAGATCGCTAGAATGCGATGGATGGCGAGCAATGCAGGACGGATCATCATGGAGGTCTTTGGGAGTGACCTTTGTTCAGCAGTGTACGTCTTCCTGGCTGAGATGATGATGATGAATAGGAAAAATTATAATTAGGATAAGTATTATATATTTAGTATTTTGTGTTTCTACAAAAATCACTCGACCTTATACTCTCACTAAGTATATATGAGCAGTAAGACATTAATCTTCCTTATCCCTGACATATAACATTCAGCAGATTTAGTAATCGGACACCAAACAGCTAGGAAATATTCTTCGAGAACAGATAAATGCGGGTAAAATACTTCCAAACACTTTTACTAGCGTTTCCACGCTAAATTTACATGTAACTAAATTTGTCTCAGCACCTAAGAATAATTTGACAAATATATAACACGTTGTCCTTGGAAAAGTATATGTTTTTTGATATACGTGGGCAATTCATCGCTATAGGCGATGGCTGTTTAGGATAATTCACACAGTTTCAAAGTTTGTGTTATGGATACTAAACAATTGATAATTTCTATCAGTTGTTTAATTAAACATATTTATTTTATAAATACATATACAGTATACATAGTAAACGCCTAGTCTAATATAAATCATCATACTCACGAATGCAAATGTTAGTGCCGTGCGACGCCATCGAACCTGCGACCAAAGAAGTAAGGTAGATCGCGACTGTCAAATTATTTAGCCGATTTATACATCGAATATGGATTTTCTAGCTAAACCCCCGGTCCATTATGTTAAATATGTTTCTTATGCCGTATTTTAGACCATTAAACTTCGGACGTAGTACTTTAAACTGGTTCTAGGACTTTAATGAATAAATATGCTAGCATAATTATTATATTAATACTCACACCTTCAGTTCTCGTGATAACACGAAATTCGTTATTTCAGTTGGGCATTGCATACGTTCTATTACATGTTTATATATAAACTAACGACAATTAAACAAAAAATATTATTTTCACTTCTGTTTCTTTTTATTTTGTTTATAATTTTTGTTTTTTATTTTTAATATTAAACAAAAATTACAAGTTTAACTTGTTTAGTTATTATTATAAAAAACTACAATATACATATATTAGTCGAAATCTGTAATGTAATAGGGACAAGAACAAGTTTTTCGATTTATTTGTACTCTTACAAAACGTAGTTTTAAGAGAAATGACGAACAAAAATATTTAGAAACTGGAATTCAGATCAGGCGAACGACTTAATGACACCTAATACATCATCGTTGCGTCACATGAATAATGGAATACAACGACAAGAATTTGTTGAGCATCCACTTCGCTTAGAACTTCGGTCTATTTTCAGTAATAAGTTCAACTGTTTTGCTTATATTCATGTGACTTGAAATTAAATAAGTATACATATTTTGTTCTACAAAAACTCGATTATTAATAATAATTAACCTAATTTGATAATGCCCAAATTTGGTACCTATAGTACCGACACGTAAGTTAAAAAAGAATCGACAAAAAGCATTTAGTTATCATGAATACTGCATAATATACACAAATACACAGTGGAATTTATATAAAACATTTTCTATCATCCTTTGAACAACCTTATACAATGAAGGTTGAAGAGTCAATAGGGTTCATAATATACAATATTTTTACCAAATTCGCAGACTATTTTGGAATATCTTATTTTCGTTTGCGTGACAGGAATATATGAAGTGGGTGACTGGGTCAAAATGTTACTCATATTTTCTTAATGCCAAATACGTCAAATATATGTACGTCAAATTTCAGGATAATAAGTAGTGTCGTTTAACCAACCAGAGTAACAAGAAACATTCATTTTGAAGCTTATTGATTGGATATGTAAAATTACAACTGTTAGTACGTATTAGTTTTTCTTTTGTGTTTTGTAATGATTCATGCTTTTAATTTTTTAGTCAAAATACACCACCACCTTTATATAGGCAAGGTGATGTTCACGAAACTTACCACAATTTTATAGCTATAAAATCAAAGTTCTTTTTTGTAAGAGTTAAGAAAGAACTATTCTTTATGGTATAAGAAATCATTGGATAGGAATAGGATAATATAATATCAACAGAAAGAATTTTTAAAATTATATTTGAATTGGTACCTGGGTAGTATATGTACTAGTATTTCTATTACCAAATCAATTTGCTTTGCTAAGTATGTTCGTAGTTTGTAGAGATGGAGATATGACAGTGATATGACTTCTTGGTATTCTGTATAAAGGTAACATAGTTATCGGGTATAATGGCAGATGATACTATCATGGCCTTTGTAGTTATAATAATGGTTTCGAATAGTTTCGATGAGATCACCTTTCAGTATGTTTGCCATTGCTATAATTTAAAAAAATCTACATGATATTTATTCTACTATATTTCAGGCATATTAATTTACGTACACTGTTTCAAACCGCAATACAGCTGTGAAGTTACACTGCAACAGAAATTGGTGAAATACAGATATATTGGTGAAATATACAAACGAATTACGTAAATAGAATAACTGTACCCATTATATAAACGAGATATTTAATCTAAAAATATGGTGGTACCTCTAATCTCTATAATACCTCTTTTACTATAATGTGGGCAGTTGTAAATAACCGCGAATAAAGTATAAGATAGTAGCATAAATATTAATCTGTTAGTAATGAGGATTAATGACCCTATTGCTAGCATAGCCATATCATATTAATATCCATGCGGTTCACCCTGGAAACCATGGTAATAAAATGGCACGATAGACCAATCGACCTTTTCTCATGCTTCTTTTGTCGATTTCCATTGGTGCACTCCCAGCGCAAACCGTTGGCGCGGGCGGATGCGCTATTCCATATCATCCAGAAAAAAACTACAACTTACCAGCTTCTAACCACAGAGGTTTTCTAAAAAATAGGTAAAAAATAATAATAACTATAATTTTAATATCTTTTATTATTCGTTAACGATCTATCACTTCTTTCAAATGCCTTAATGCCTCGTCTAAAGCCATATGCACTTCTAGTGTATTATGAGCAGCCATGGCTTCAATGGTTACTGTGCTACTTCTGATAGAGGCAGATTTGTGTAACATGCTTTGTGCTAAAGGACAGAAGACGTCAGGATTCATGGATTCTGTTCTGGACTTTCCAGTTAAATAACTCATTGGTATACCGATGAGCAACACTGATATGGCACCAGCAAATGGACAGTATGTGAATGAGATTCTAAAGAGAGACTGAAGAGGCTTGCTGGCTGGTAGTTGAGTGCTAAAAAAATACAAATATATTTTTAATAGATACAGACAACAAAGATACAGAAGTGGAAGACACATATTTCCATGTTAACGAATTTGGTATAAGACCTACGAGTAGAGACATATAAAAGTTACTAATATTTTTTATAACTAGTGAAAGTACTTAAATATTTAAAAATAATATCGTCATATAAAATGAGTAGATTTGCTGTCTGTAACAGATTGCTTAAAGCCGCCTTTAGTATATTTATGTATAATATATAGATATATTAAGACACTTATATTCTTTAACCCAATAAAATCAATGGGGGCGATACTAAACATATATTCGATGTACAAACAGCTTATAGGATATGCGATTGCAACAATAGAACGTACCTAGGCCAAAACATAATAGCGTTTAAATTATGATAAAAAAGCAAGCCCGATATACCCATAAAACTCTACCGCCATTAAAAGTATTAGGTACACGATATTCATGACAAGACATAATCGCTTTATTTTAACATCTCAAAACTTGTACAACTTGATTATAAAGCTTGGAGTTTTAGACTAGAGCTGGCTGGCGGTCGTTTAAAATCATATCAGTTTTACAACTTTGATCACGTAGCATTTAAATTTCATTGCCATGCACTAAAGATACTTCCAGCTATAGAAATGTACCACCAAACTCATTTGCGACTAAGAAAAGAGTCAACGAACAAAAGTCATAAAACTGTGAGAATCGAGTAATAGTAATAATATGGAGAAAGTTTTAATAAGGGAGAAATAAAAGTGTGGCAGAGTCGATATCGCGTAAGTTGAGAAGGAGATTAAAACTTTGGCCCCGCGCAAGTGTGAAGTCATTTGCGCGCATAAAAAATCGGTCAAGCGTGTAGCGGTCGTAGTTTGCTTGCCCTATGAAACTGGCTGTAACATAAAATATTGGAAATTCTTGATGAAACTTATAGTATAAAATCACTGTTTCATACCGATATAACGTTAAAAGTGTTATAACTATCGGGAAGTATCTAAGTTGGAAATTTGAATAGACACAAAATTATCGCGTTTATTGAAATCATTTAGAATGATTATAAACGGAACCTTTATTTCGCAAATAAAATACCAAACACATTATTATATTAATAAATTTTATCATGTTAAATAGTTATAATAAATACAGTTTCATATATTTTACATAGAAAAAAAAACATAACCTACTTTGTCAAACAATTAACTTATTTATTTAAATCTATTAAAAAGTATCTGCACTAAAAGATAGCTGCATTTAACTACAGATAAGATCCTTAAATTTAATGATACATACTTTAGTATTTTGTACGAATGTTTTATCAAATTTAAAATATATTCTGTTACATATTAAATGGCACGTATTACTTACATAGTCACCGGAATTGTATTTGTAACATTAGCCACAAAAGTGAAGTTGGTTTTTCCACACGCCAAAACCACCAGAGGCTTCCCTTGAAAGGTCAACGCACCCGTTGCTAGAGCGTTTTCAGCCCCTATGAGAAGCCAACCGCAGAGCAAGAGACTTAGTAGACAACCGCTTAGTGCGCCCTGAAATAGAATTTCATAGTGAATACTAAATGTTATAACAATATTAAACCGTCACGACTTTAAGTATAGCTGGGGTTATCAGAGATATTTTTTAATGTATAGTAATGGAGGATGAGATTTTTTGGAAAGATGCACACGCCTGCGCTAACGGTTTACTAACCAATGGAGAATAATAATTTGACGATAAAGTGAGGACAGTTAGCCCATCCTGACAAAATTTAGTAGGAATTTGTCATGATAGTTTCTAGGGGGACCGGCGTGGAGGTAACCTGACGCTACCAGCAATGGATCAACAGTCCACATTACTAACAATCCGCTTCCCCCCAATCAGAAGTATTAGGTAGGTATCAAATGTGGATATAACTACGATAAGTAACATGACCACAGTTTTGGTAGGTATTGTACTCAACATGTGAAAAGCCCACTACAATTAAGTTTATTTGCTGCTTCTGTTTCTATAATCGGAGGATCAATCAATAAATATAAATTCATAGACAAAATTTTTAAACGAATTTTGAACTTACGACCTTTGCTATCTAAGTCGAGATATACTAATGGCTACTGGGCTACTGACCCATAACGCTCTTATTTTCAACCTCTATGTGATCCTGAAATTGAAGTTTTATAGGGTAAACAGTAAATATTGTTGAAGCTTAAACCCTTTTAAGGAAAAGCCGTTTCTGTGTATGACAAACATTTTATATATGTCATGTAACATGAAATCTAAAAACCTTGTAATATTTTTTTATGCAACTCAGTCGTTGTGTGTACGAAGTTTTGAAATAATAAAATAAAAAAAATAGACAAAGTAGGTATCTAATACTTCTCTAATATTACAGTTGACCTCCTTTCCAGCACATTTTAAGTTAATACTCTAATCACCACTGTAAATTTAATCGATTTCGATTTATCTTACATAAAAAAGTTTTTAAAATAATGGCACGAAACATTTTGCAATGATTTCAAAAAATAATAACATTGCACATTAAGCATTACAGCGACATCTAGTCAATAAACAGTAATATAACGTGGTAACATTTTTATGTTATGTTACCTTTTGGTTATTCGTAAATAGCACTGCACTACTCATTCGTTTCAAATGCAAATAATAGATGGCGCTATACAGTTTCATTCTAAATGTTACAAATTGTATACTCATCACAATACAGATGGTGGTAACCTGTAATCTTAAAATGATTTTAAAATACCATAAAAAGTTGGCCACGTGTATTTTTAACGTAAAGTTACGGTTGCCTACGTGTTAGTATATCTATATTCGATATGCTAATTATCTATTTGCCACTCCTAGGTATTTAAGCCAAAGGAAGCTAGAAACTGTTATAATTGTAGTTTTAAAGATTTAAGCATATCTACATAGGGACGGACAGACAGCGATAGCGACTTTGTTTTATACCATGTAAGTAATAACGATTTTGACAACTTGCCGAATAGAATTTAACAAACGTTAATAAATTTTAATTTAGATATAAGATTTCTTAAGGTCGGCTTTACATATTAGACACCCATGGTGTTTCAGGCTGCCATTGTGGTAAATAAAACAGTATTTGCATATTATTGCTCTTATGTACACAATAGTACCTACACAACCTACAATGTAAAAGCTACAGAAAACTGTGTGAAGTTATGGACAACTTACAGAGCAGTTGGCCCTAGGAAATACAATGCCCAGTGTGAACAATCCCAGAAGTGTTCCGGCTGTGACCCCTGTCACTCCAGACGCAACATGTTGCAACCGGTCCAAATCTTTTGAAAACCAAACCACACTTGCACAGTACAATCCGACAAGTACACATAAAAGCTGAAATAGAAAATATTAATAATAAATATTTTATGGTCAATGGTGAATATTCTGAATCAATCGATGGGAACCGGTTGGATTGTCGCATAACAAACATATGTAATTATCTAAATACATATAGATATATGTATAACAACAAAATAACTGTAACAAAAATTATTTAGTTTAGTTAAATTGTTTAGTACCCATAATTCAAATTCCTATATAGTTTTTAAGTGATGACGCTGTGTGCATTCTGGTTAAATATTTAAAAAAAAGTCAATTATCTAACCTTCATTATTCTACAGCAAGTAGGTTCTCTGGTACTTTGTGGTATCCATGGCCGTATATACTCTTCGAATAAAACTCCAGATATTGAGTTTATGAGAGTAGCAATGCAACTGCAATGATTCTATATTTTATATGGAGCAAAACTTAAAAATAAACAAATACAAGAAACCATTAAAGTAATTTCTTACCCCGTTGTTGCACTGAATATTGAAATTATGAATATGCCACAAATACCGGGAAACATTTCTGATAGGCTATTAAGAAATTGTGGAACTAACTGCAAGAAATAAAGTTATATATAAAGTTATGAACGAACTTTGATATTCTATTGCTAAATTATAAGATAAATAATTACCTGTTCATGTTTTTGTATTTTTCCAGACAATAAAGGATCACATCCTGCAAACCAAGCATAAACAGCTAAACCAAGAAAACAAGATAGCAACTTCATTAATATAACGCCTACACAAGCTACAGTTAAACATATTCTAGCTTGGGTAATTGTAGGAACAGATAGAAGCTTTTGCAGAGATCCTTGACTGAGCCCTATCTTCCACAGCCAATTTGTACTTAGTGCTAAAGTTACAGCGAAGAATGATGTATGGTGTTCCAACTCAGGATCTGGACTACATAAAAATAATAAGGTAATATATAAAATCGTATGGTATAATAATGTTTACGTATAAATATCAACAAAAGAACTTACTCATATAAGACGAGCCGACCACTATGACTCGCAAGTTCCCACATTCTCTTAAATCCCATAGGCAATAAAGCTAGTCCACTTGGCAAGGCAGTACCAGCTATTGCTAAGAATGTTGTGACTATACCAATACTGATAATAGCTCTTAAGCCTCCAACAGCACTAAGCGTTGCACACATTACACAAATAACTGCTGTTATACGACCAGCAAAGGGATTCGTAACTGAAATAATGAATATGGTAATAACTATAAAAAACAGACTAAGAAATTTATCTATGAATACTATGAGATATTTACAACAGTAGTAGAATGTGTACAAAGTCATTTGCTGGAGTAGGTATCTCTGATTCACATATTACAGCCGCCTAGCAGCTTGAATTGTAAGGTGTGTTTCGGTGGAAGGATTTCTTGACATCTTAGGGGACATCTACATATAACGTCACAAAAAAATTTAGTTTATTCATTAGGTTTACCCCCTTTTAAGTAATAAAAATTTCGTGTTTTTATCAAATAAAATTTAAAGACATCACAAGAACTACAAGACCTAGTGAGTAGGTAGAATACTAGATTTCTTTGTTATACAACGTCACACTTCGGTGACCTGCACCTAACGTGTGATACAAATTATGAGGCAGGCAATACTACAGGCATCATATGATAGCGTGATGTTGGTCTTTATGTCCCTTGTTTCCCTTTCCAGGTACATAAAAAATATATTAAATAAGGCGTCGCTAAAATTTGCAAATAATAAACCTATGTAAGAAGTAGTAGACCCATGTATAAAATAATTTGTACTGAAATGGGTATAGTGAATAGTAATTAAAAAATATTCTTCTCACCAAGTCTAAACGCTAGAAGTGGTACATAAGGAACTATTGGCAATAACATAAGCTTACTGATGACAAATAGTACTGCAGCTATTGTACGAGTGTGTGTAGAAAATCTTATTTCTAGGTATTCAAAGCTGGAGTTCAATTGTAGTTTATGAAACACTGAAAGTATAAAACAAACTATTTAATCGAAGAATACTTTACACCTATTACTGTATTATTATTATTCTAATATTTCAATGATAACTTAAAATAAATTTAATAAAGTCATTAATTCTGGTAATAGTGTAAAAACTAAGTATTTATAAAATAACTATTCATCAAGATCAAATATAAGAGTTTAATTAAACTGAAGGGTAGGCAGGATGAAATAGTTTAATTTCTTCTAACTCAATCAATCAGTATAAATATAATAAGAAAACAATATTGAAATAAAAACATAGTCGTAGATAATAAACTTAGTACATTATGAAAAGCACTAACAGGCTTGTGAACTATATCCCTTTAATGATAAGATAACTGAAGTCAATGTTATATAATCACAGAGTAAATATTTACCAGGCAGATATATAATTGCAGAGAGAAATGTGACAATGATTAAAGACAGAGCTGATGCCCAGTATTGTGTTCCTCTCAAATATATTTCAACCGGAACACCCAGTAGTGTAATGCTCGTCAGATGACTGGAAGAAACGAAACACTTATTTATACCAGAACCAGAGTAGGGCTCTATCTAATGGTCCAACCAGCAGAGCGATACACAAGCTGCAGTCAGATTTCAATAAGCGATAGAGTAGTGTATCATCCTTACCTTTATGGAGGTATAACTATTTGGTCATTGGAACGGCAATACAGCGAAGGACGTTAGTAAAATATACTTTGTCTCCATGACGCTATTCATGTGTATACAAGTGACTGTTACCATTTACTATCAGATGTGTTGTAAATATTTTTGCCATTCCAGTTACAAAAAAATATATAACTTAGGTGTGTATAAATTTGACTCTATACCTATGTGTGAAGTAACAAATTGTAATATTTATAAGTACAAAACAAATGACACTAGAATATCTATTGTTCAAGACTAACCGGTGATGAATTCAATATTCCTAATATCAACAAAGAGTAATTTCTTAATCATTATTAATTTTTACTACTAAGAAGTCATAAAAATAAAGTAATTTTATCTTTTTTTTGTTTTTGTGTATTATTCATAAATGTTGTATGTTGTGGATTATGTATCCCTAAAACTTAATAAAATTCGACGTACCTTGCAATGAGAGATATCGAAACAGAAATCACCGACATATTTTTGCCACCAAACAAAAATCCATTCACTGTATTATATTTTCTATTCACTATATTAAAATACACTATTATTCCTATAATAACACCTAGAATTATTCCAAACAAACAGTATTCTGCTAAATTAAAATATATAGGCGATGATGGTATATTGGTATTGTTCTTCATTTTTTAATAATTATTGATGTAATATATGAAAGAAACGTGTGCCACAGAAAATGTCTTATTGCAAATAGAGGTATCAGTGATGCTGTTCTAACAACAATTAAAGAGATATATATCAGAGATAACCGTTGAATTATCTTTAATCTCTCAACAAACATTGGAATAAGAACATTTCGCGCAAATGACGTTAGTTACATTTTACAAGTGAAATAATACGGGAATATATTGTGCAGCTCCTTTCTGCAATACAGTATTGTTAGCTTCACTTGTATAGTTAGATCTTGTGATATTTTTTATCTAAGTAACTACTAAATGTAAATATTTACACCCACTTATCAATTCTTACGTCTACAATTGTTTTATAAGTAAATAAATGGCCGTAGTTGTAATTTTGGATGCTGATTATTGATCATTTAGGCTAAAATTTGATTATAATATAAGCTACACAGCGCTGACGTAGATAAATAAAAATTTGTGATTTTCGCCGTTGTTTTCTATTATATTTAAATCAAAGACGTTAGATATAAACTGCAATATATACCTATAGGTAGTTTAATTTACTATTTTAATGATAAGTAATTATTTAAATATTATATTTATTGTAAAACTAAAAATGTTTATATTAAAACTTCTCTTTTATACCTTTATTATCTTTTTATAAAACAAGCGCCATCTGGTAAGTACACACGTAAATTTCAAACTTAAAATATGTTTGTTACTTGGAGAGCTAGGAGCACGAATGGTCCGTTACTCTCCAATGATTCATAGCAACTATCTTAGATGGCGCTGTTCATTTATAATGTAAATCCTAAGAAAATAGAAAATATTATTTGTTATGCTGTCCCGTCTTCGTCCGAAATGGACTATAAATATATATAATATACACAAAGATATTAAGTTTAAAAATATTGAAATTTTTATTTTTAAAATGCACCTATTACCTGTAGATTACTTTTAAGCTGAAATTATATAGAGATCTTCTTGTACTTATCTACCCAATTAAACATAGTGTAAAGTTATATTTGGCTTAGAATAACAATATTTTTAATAACATTATTTTTATTTTGATACCTACATAGGGCGAGAGGGAATGTTTTGTTAGATAATGTGATAATGTTAAAATATATCGTGATAAACCCTGGTAATGACTTTACCACTTTAACTGACCTGACTTCATCCTCTATTAGTGTATCTCCAACGTAAACCATTAGCACAGTCTTGAGCACCATTCCATTAACATCCATTAAAAATAAACTTAGTTACTCAGTTATTTACTTCAAAATTATACCCGTTTTAGATACATATTTTATATTTTTGGTAAAATGACATAACACTACTAGAGTATTACTATGTATTTTATTATTTAAGAAAAGTTCTGTGATAGCACTTAAAATGTACTTAAAGGAAATATCTAAATCCAATCCAAAATATTAAAATATTGTGTATTTGTATTTTTTATTTATATTTTCTATATTGTACTTACGAACTTTTTTTTATTATACATACAAAACGGATGCCTACCATCCGTAGAAAAATAATAAAAAAAAAACTTGACATTCATAAGCGGCTAAAATATCCTTCATGAATAAATGATAGTTGATTTGATTTAAAAACTAAAGTTTTTATTGTAATACCTATGTGTTATGTTATAAGATATTTTTCTTAAGTAATTTTTATAGTCACTCCCAAATTAGGTAGGTACATAAGCATGGAAAGCAAGCTCAAGTTATCCGTAAAAACTAGGCAAAAACAGTATTTACGGAGGTCGCTTGGGGGCCAGGTGTGCGAGTAATATTCTAATGTGGGTAAAAGCGACCCGCCATCCATAATAATATAACCCCACTCCACCTCCACATAAAACTATGATACGTAAATAAGGAGTAACTGGTGGCTTTAGTGACAGTGTTTTGGTTGGGCTACATCTGTGGGTAGGTATATCTGTAAAGATACCACAACTGCATTGTATATAATAGTAATAATAATAATCTCAGGACAATTCACACAGCACCATCTAGACCCAAGACATAACTAGATGACATTTGCCATTGACTACCAGGAGAGTCGTCACCAATTTTACATTCAAGTTACATAACAAAATATTATAGAGACATTATCCATACATATACAATCTCTGTAAAGAAATACGTACACTTTGAAAGATGTAATAGAAAATGTCTTTAGATGCCTTTTCTCCGTAGGCATGCAAATTTTACTAAACCTAACAGTTACATAGTTATTCGATATTCACAATTAAAGACTATTATTATTAACATCATTACAATTATTATTACTTTATTTTTATGTATAATTTAAATAATCGTCCAGAGAGTAAAAGAGTGCGCTATCTAATATAAATAACGTTAATTTATTAATTTTAATCTCTTTTGAATATCAGGTATGTCTTATAATTCTATCGCTGAAAGTACAGACTAGATACTCTAGGATAGTCATAATATAAATTAAATATCTGTAATGGTTTTTTACAGATTTTTTACTAACGCATGGAATATCAATAATATCTATCGATATTATAAGGTATACACGAACGTAATAGATAGGTCGCGTGATAAATTTGAGACACGTGTACATTCCAAAACACAAATCATCTAAAACCTATACAATATCGCAAATATATCTTGTCCATACTGGGTAATATAGGAGCACGGGATCAGACATAACGTCGATACAAATTTAATTGAACAGGCATTTTTAACCCCGACGTAAAAAGAGAGATGTTATACGTTTGATGTTTCTGTTTTCATATATGTGACATCTTAGCTCTTAAAAGAATATATAGATTACGATGTGCCCTTTTTTTTAAATCTAATATGATCGAGATGCTTCTTACATGTTAAGAATGCTAAGAAGCTCCAATAGCTTTCTTTATTCGGTTATTTATTTTTACTTAAAATTTTTTATTTAGTGGAAATCTAATTGCTTTAATCTACATATGTATTATTCATAGTACTAAGGTGATTCAGCGTCCCAGCGTTTTTTTTGTAAATTGCATTTTAAACTGAATATGTGAAGATTACAAATTGGGAAGAAAAATGCAATTTTTTTTACGATTATTAGGTTTTGTTATTTTTTATATTTTATACATGAATCACTACGGAGATCACATTATCAAATGATGCTTGTAACATCAGTAATGTGTTGCCATACGACAGGTACTAAGATAACAAGTCTCTTATCCTAAAATTTCACTGCCTTTTCCACCATACAATGGAACTATAGCTGAATTAGGTAATATGTGTTATAAATTATTGTTTATGTTATTAAGTACACAATTATACGAATGGCGTCCTTCTAAAAATCACTATAACTGTGATAGCTCTTTTATATGAATTAAATTCTACGGGACCATCCGAACGAACGGAAGTTTCATGGAAAGGGCCGGGGGACTCACTGAGGAAATGTGCAAAAGAGACAACAATCCACCGAAAGAGTAGCCGAGAGTGGGAGAGAAATATAGAAAAATTAAATTATATTTCCCAATGGTGTCAGCCAGTTATTAAGTGGCCAGACGCCATTTTGAATTATTATATTTTTTTATACCTTTCCCCAGGTTTCCCTTTTGTACGTGGAATTCCTTTTATTTGTTATAGTTTAGGGATGAAATTGCAAATGGATTCGGTTGTGCTGAAGCTGTAAATCAATCTGTCCCTACTACAATATTGTTTTCACAATGAAAATGTACTGAAGAAGAAAATGAAACTAATAATTAAATAACTATATGTATGTATAGTCTTTTACATGGAGTCATTTATTTTACTTGGAGGTTGTGTATATCTCATACATGTTTCCATTTAAAAATACATAAACATCACGACTGTTCACTCAGATGGTGTAGTCAGAGACTGTGTGAACGATGAACATCTAAGTGAAGTGAACACAATACCTGATATGACCATATTTAGAATTCAAATATACCTGATATTTGAATTCAACATGGCAATTGGCAGGCCTACCACCGTTTCTCAAATTAGCTTTGTTTGTTAGTGGCATTTTCATCACTAGAGAGTTAGTCTGAATATGTAAATTATTAATACAAGAAGATTTTTTTGGTTCGGTACTCACGGCCTTATAGACGTAAGTTAAGGTAATCTCTACCTCTACGCCACAAAGTCCTCTTCCACTGTATTTTCGTAATTTACACTACTATACCTAGTAATTTAGTGTAAATATATCATAGCCAAAAATAATTTTAAATTAAAACCATTAATACACTAGGTACTTTTATTTAAAATAGTTAAAAAAATAGAAATAAATGTTCCCATATTTTTTTGGTACCTACTGAAGTGTAAAGTTTTTTCATCGAATAATAAGAATCATAGAATAGAAGTGAATTGAGGGCCTTTTTAGGCGGTCAATAAAAAAAACTATGTCGTGTATATATGTATATTAAATATGTTGTCTACAGTAAAAATCATATACTTAGTCCCTACCCTTTTAGTGCGAGTTACTGTTTGCGTGAAAGGGCCATCATAAGAATGGTAGTTTAATCAGACGTTAAGGGTTGAAGCTTAAAATAATCTCGGGAGGAGTTACAGTACGCCCCGGGCGTATGATAAACCGGCGATAACCGGGTATGGGGCGAATGAATTGGTCGCTTCGAGCAATGGTTTTTGCCTGCTACTGTACTTTTAGGTGACTATTCTTAAAGTAATCAGAATCAGTCGATAATATGGTATATACTCATATTGCATATACTAAACCTAAATCCAGTGAAAAGTTCGTGAAACCCCTTACTATTCCACCTTCCTGTGATACATTTATCAAATATTATTTTTGATAGGTTATTTTGGATCGGATATTCGTCAGGCAGCTCATTTGCAGAAAAATCACAAATTATCGCCCTTTATGATTATGTCATTACTAAACACTTGGAGTTCTAAAGAAATTACAGGTGTATTTCAGATGTTTAAGGAAGATATGTGCTCTTATTCTTAAAGTTTAAATATCTTATAGGTATATATATAGTCTGCTGAATATTGATTCAACAGTGGACGTGTGCGTAAATGAAAATTTTGTGCAAGTGTTTGTAAC